CACACACACACACACACACACACACACACATCTCTAGCTAGGTTTGTTGAGGAGGCAGGAGGTCACTGGAGTTTTGCGGTCCGGTCGGTATATCACCCGCCGAGGAATCGGCGAGGATCTTCTGATAAAAAAGAAGAAGAACACCCAGGGCACTGTCGCTTGGCCTTCCACATCCTTTTTTTTTAACTTCGGCAGTAATGTTTTTTAACTTTGGAAGTAATTTTTTGTTTCAGTGCTAAACTCTCTGTTTTCCCAGTGGTAAGAATTTCTTCACATGTTTCTTTTTTGAAAGTATAGATTTTTTTCGGATGAAGGGTTTAGTCGTTTCAGGACTTTTTTGGGGGCGACTCTGTGCCAACTACTATGCAATCACGGTTTTTTTTTTACGAAATTGGTGTAGTCTACATCGGTATGGACCTGTATTTTGAGGGAAGGGTGAGATAAAGACGGAGACGTAGAGAGTGTCGAGAGAAATTACTTAAGACTACCACCAATCAGCACGCAGGTAGACTAATGCAAGGAAATATATTCCGGTCTGGTATTTTATCCGTTCAATAAAAAAATCGTGATTAATTATTGTTTTTTTTGTGTGTGTGATTAATTATTTTGTTAATTAATGGCGTTTGTTTTTTTTGGCGGGACTCTGTGCCAGCCAGCATCATGTAATCACGGGTTCTTGGTGGAGCCGCTGTAGTCCAGATTGGTGGTGAAAGCGAGCTGTTTAACTGTGGTTTTTTTTTTTTTTTTTTTTTTTTTTTTTTTTTTTTTTTTTTGTAAGTCTGATGATGAGATAATGATGATAAGGATGAAGACGTATATAGCATCCTGATGCATTACACGATGATTTTTTTTTTTTTTTTAACGAAATCGCCAGGGCTTTACCGCGTGTTCGCCACGTCAGTAGGACCTAACGATTTCAGTTCAAAAATAAAAAGACATAGAAATTGCAATGAGGACGATCTAAATCAAATGGCCGAAGGAGTAAAACAATAACACGTGTATTTGTAGTTATTAGGACTTACAGAGGAAAACATAGGAACGGGCCTGCTGCTGCCCAAAATAGAATGGAGGCAGGCCCATAAGGTCCTGCGTTTCTATTTATATTATACAAACGAAAAATAAAAAGGGAATAAGACAAAAAAAAGAAAAAAGAGAAGGAACAAAATGCTGTGAAAAGTTCATCAGTTGGATTTGCACCAAAAACCTCATCAAGACAATGGACGCGAGAGACAGCCCAGGGGGCATGGTGTGCCTCGTGATTAGGTACGATAGAGTGGAGGGCAGGGTAGGGTAGGATAGGATAAAGTAGATGGGTTCTGGATGACGGGGAGGGAGGGAGGGAGGGAGGGAGGAATAGGGAAATTAATAGATTTGATAGGAGGGAGAAGGGAGGGATAAGGTAAATGGATAGATTTGCAAGGAGGGAGGGATGGAGAGGGAGGGAGGGGAGGGACAGATAGCTAGATCGAGGAAGGAGGAGGCAGGAAGGAGGGACGAAGAGAGGTAGAGAGGGAGGGAGAGAGGGACAGGTGCAGAGCCAGCAGGAGGAGGGAGGACGGAGGAGGAGGCAGGAAGGAGGGACGAAGAGAGAGAAAGAGAGTAAGGGAGAGGAAAGTAGGGGAAGAAAAAAGGGAGGGAGAGAGGGAAGGACGGACAGGTAGGAAGGTAGAGGGAGGAAGGGCGGGCTATAAACAGATTTTATACAAAGATTCAAATCACAGAACTAACACATAAAAACGACCAGATTAGAGACGTAGATAGTACAGAATGATAGATACATACAGCTACCCGTCTTCAACGGAATAGAACGCCCGGTCATTATCGCTGCATCTGGACTGAAAATAAACCCAAATACAGATATAATGACTGGGCGTTCTATTCGGGCGAACAGGATAACCCTTCCTCACGGGTATATGCAGTACAAGGCAGGCTCGAGTCGGTGCGAGGGTGCGTGGATGGGGTTAAGAATGAATGGATGGATATAGATTGGTAGACAGACGAACAGCCAGCGGAGACAGACACACAAACAGCCATACCATACCCGGCACTGGCAAATATGATGGATCAAGCGCCAAACGAACGAACGAACGAACCACACACATAGACGACATTTGGATAGATTGATTAATAGAATGAGGAAAAAATGAACGACTTACTGTAAGTAGGTGTACAGAAAATAGACATTTGGATAGAGTAGGTTCATTACATAAAATGAGGACAAAAAGAACGACTTAAATAGGTCTACAGAAGATACCACAACCGAGAAGGTTTCATGACATTCAATGTTTGCATAGTCTCATTTTATATTAATCGAAATCAAAACCCACATCCAAATCCGAATCCATCCAAATATCCATTCTGTTTTCCGTTCTTTTGGTGGGACCACAAGGAGTGCCAAAAACGAGGTTGCACGTATACAGTGACAGACACTCGGGAGCCGTGCGGGCGTGTACAACCCAAACCCCTTAAACTCGAGCACACGCGCAAACACGCCCAACCACACGAGCACACTCGTACACGCGCAACCAAATGCGCGCACTCATACACGCGAAACCACACTCACATACACGCGCAACCACGCGCACACTCATGTACACGCGCAAACACGCGCACACTCGAACACGCGTAAACACGCGCACACTCGCACACGCGCAAGCACGCACACACTCGTACACGCGCAAGCACGCGCAGACTCGTACACGAGCAACCACCCGCACAATCCACACGCACAATCAACGCGCGCCGAGTCGTACCCGCACAACCACCGCACACTCAACACGAGCAACCACGCGCAACCAGCGCAGCATGGTAGGCTGCGCAACCACGCACACACGCACGAGCGCGCACACAAACATGCGCGCGAGGACATGCACGTGATAATCGCCTCTCTGAAGGGCCCGTCCTTCCGATCTAGAATCAAACTGTACTTGATACCAAGCAGAGTAAGATGCAGATTGTAGTAAAGAAAAGGTTAATCCTTCGGGACATCCGTTAAAAATTTGGAACGATACAGAGAAAGAAGATTGTCATGGCCCCCGCACAAGCATGACAACCCAGAACTGGTGTTTATATGCTCTCTGGCAGATACCACAACCTGGCACATAAGACAAACTTGTCTGTGTTCACCACGTGGCAAATCGGCTTGCCTTGCACACGTGGCAGATCGTCGAAGTGTCTCGTAACCTCGCACAATCCCAACGGCGGAGAAATCAAGAAACAAGAGAGAGAACGATAGATAATATATGGCTTGAGGAGGGGCGACAGAGAAGGCTTGAGTGAGAGAGAGAGAGAGAGAGAGAGAGAGAGAGAGAGAGAGAGAGAGAGAGAGAGAGAGAGAGAGAGAGAGAGAGAGAGAGAGAGAGAG